GACGACGCGATGCGGTTTGGCACGAAGACGCAGTACGCGCCTTCGCTGACCATGGAGTCGCTCGCCGCCTTCACGCCGGCCGACGCGTCCACGCCCCAGGGCCGGACCGCCACCGTTGTGCAGAGCCTCAGCGCGCTGGGCACGGCGGACCCCGTGGGCGTGCCGCAGGTCTTCCAGGCGAGGAGCTACGTGCAGGACCTCGAAAAGGCGGGCGTGCGCTTCTTCGCCGACGCCACGGCCCGGGACGCCGCCGAGGCGTACCTCCAGAAGAAGCGGCAGGAGGAGGCCGCCGGCAAGGACGGCGAGGAGGCGGCGGTCAGCACGGAGCGCATCATCCAGGACGCCGAGGAGGCGATTCGCAAGGTCATTCTCGACAAGGCGGTCGCGGGCCAGCACGAGAAGCCCAAGTTTGCGGCGGACCCTGTCGGCGTGGCGCGCTCGTGGCACCTTCGTGCCGAGACGTACGCACAGAAGGACGTCGAGAGCTTTGAGAAGAAGCTCAAGTCTCTGGTCGGGGCAGGTGCCGCGGCAGGGGGAAAGGCTGGGAAGAAGGGCAAGGCTCAGGCCAAGGCCTAGGCATGTACAATCAGTGTAGGAGAAGAGGCGTGTCGCTTCCAAGTGTAATATAGTACATTCAATCGTGGACAACTATGTCCAAACGGAGTCTATCCGCAACGGTTTCGTTTTGGCGCCATATTATACAAGCCGCCGGCACTCAGTGCCGGTCAGTGCCGCTGCAGTTGCTTAATCGTCTGCGCCTCCTCGGCGTCAATGTCCTTCATCTTCTTGTCCTGGATCTTCTGCAGCTCCTTCTCGGCGCGCTTCATGACGTCGGGGAGGACGGCGCCGGTGCGCTTACCCTCCTTGAGCATCTTGTCGTGGCGGGTGCGGGCCTGGCGGACGCGCTCGCGCCAGGCCTGCGTGGCCTCCTTGACGCGGCGGACGAGCTCGTCGCGGCGCTCGAGCTCGACGCGCAGCAGCAGCTCGAGGTCGTTGTCGTCGGAGCGCTGCGGCTGCTGGTTGAACTCGCGCGAGGCCTGCACCGCCGACATGATGGGCTTGATGTACGCGCGGTCGTTGACGAGCAGCGAGATGGTGCGCCCGGACCGCGGCACCACCTGCGCGAGCTCCCGCAGCGGGAACGTTTCGTGCGCCGCACCGCCGCCGCTACCACCTCCCGTCGCGGCCTCGGATTTGACCGTCACGGGGAGCGCGCCCAGCGTCGACGGGTTGAAGCGCCCGCCGTGTAGGACCGACTGCAGCTGCGCCTTGAAGTGCGTGTCGATGGGCCCGTAGGCGGCGATCAGGCCGCTGAAGTCGAGGGGGTCGTCCGCGTTGGGCCCCGAGGAGGAAGAGGAGGAAGGTGATGACTGTGACGGAGCGTTGTCGGCGCGTGAGGGGCTGTTGGCCGCGGGGGCAATCTTGCGCTTCTTCAGGAGAGCTGTGGACGAGGTAAAGGGTCTGACGGAGCAAGCGCAGGCCGGTGTCGTCGAGGGCGCGGTCCTCGGCAAGATGGTCTGTCGTGATCGGACGGTCGACCTGTCGAGGTTAGCATCCGAGCCATTGAGGGAGCGACGAGGCGTCTGACCTGGGCGCTGAGCTCAAGAGGCCAGCGCCTTGTCTCGCGAGACTGGTCGCACGAGGAAGCGCCATCTTGCTGTTGATTCACGTCCAATTGCCAGTCGACACTGCAGTAAATGGTTGAATGAAGCTCTCTCTGGCAGGCTCAACCTGACAGCTGTGGCCCCACATGACGACCGTTCTTCCGGATCAACCAAGTTCCCCTTCCGTCAGTGCGTACGTCCTCGTCGCTCTCTCCCTCCCTCTTGAATGCCAATCTTCTGTATCCTCTCTTTGCTATCCCATCTCTTCAAGAGTGCAGCTCCGTGTTCGAACCGAATGCGTCTTTACTCCCAATTTTCAAAAGGTCGTCGCGAAAGCTGGCCCACACACGGCTCGACATGGCGGCGACTCGGCGAGCAAGGTTCGCCCGAAACGGAAGCCTAAAAGCGGAGCGCGCCGCCCGGAGGACAGCCCGACCGGCAGTGGCCTCGGCTCCCGAGTCCCGGCTGCGGCGGTCCTTGCTGCCCCACTGGCCGAGCTGCCAGCGACGTGGGATGCCTCGACCCTGCCAATGCAACGACTGCCTCATGAAGATGTCACTCTCCGGATTGCAAATGACTGGGCATGGTCGGCATCAATCGACGGCTCGGACATTGCTGCGTAGTCTGTTCATCGCCGCTCGGGAGAACGATGCGGCAGGTCACAGGTTTTGGAAAACAAACGTCTGACTGGCAAATGTGTACTCAGTACAGTGAGTGACTGACGAGCTGTCAATTTGAGGGAAGCGTGACAAGGGGCGGGCCTCGTTTCGACGTCCTCGGCTCTCCTCTTGGAACATGCTCGCGTGAGGCGTTCATGGCCTCGCAGCGCATGAAGCTGGAATAGCGAGCCAAGAACATCGGGGCGTTGAAGAAGCACCTTTCGCACTTTGGCGATCCAGGTCGTGACGTCTATGTTTGGTGCAGGATAGCTTGCAGCCGGCAACCCGGCCTTTGATCGGAACTGGGGATCTGCGGTGATCTTGAAACATTGGAGCTCGTGCATGTCGCGAATAATAATTTGGGAAGACCAGGGTTCGAGTCACTAGAGCATGGGCCCAAAGAGCGCAATCGCCATGGTCTGAAATGCCGATTTTGATGAGAGCTGCCAAGAGGACGCGCGATGGCGGCTTTCGGCGAGTTGTATTAATTAAATGTTTGTCCATAGCGCCATAGCATCAAGGTCGGCAGAGCGTGTCTTCTGACACCAAAAAGAATTGATGAAGAATGGACAGCATTTGTTGTGAGTGTCATAGGACATCGTGCGTTGGTTTGATATGGACGGACACACGGTCACATCACTGGGATTCGAACCGCGGACGGTTGCATAAGGAACAAAAAAACAAACGCTTTGGCGAAGTGCTCTTGCGAGCCTTGAAAAGCATACTTCATACTGTAGTTAAAGATACACGCTACTTCGCCGATGTGCGCTGGTTTATTTTGAATGATAAGGGGTCCCTGCCTGGCACCATGCTGTCTGGGTACGTACCTTGGGCGCGATGGCTGCGTTAGGTTGAAGTCTGCCTCGCCACGGGCGCGGCGACTCTGGAGTCAAAGCAGTCGGCGCGGCAGTGAGTGAGTGGGTGCATGGATAACTCGACGGAGGGGACTTGCTCGCTCGCCTGGCGGATTTACCATGGCTCCAGCCTGGCATTGCCCTACCATCCATGGCGCACGATTCGTCCGTCGACTCGGCCGGCACTCCACGCGCAGCGGACGGGCGTGTGTCGGTCACTGTATCTCATACGAGACTATCCACAAAGTCTCGACATTGCATTGCGGCCATTTCCCGGTCTATGGATGAGGTGTCGGCGCGGAACTGCGTTTGCTGGTTGAATGGTACGGCACTATCATGCTCTTCAGATGTTGGGCATGTCGATGCGCGGGCGTGACACATTTCTCGTGGAGGTACAGAAACCAGGGTCGAGCCGGCGATTGAAGGAACACAGCACGGGCCATAAGCCAGATGTCATGGTCAGTTTTGAGGAAATTCCCTGGTTGCTTTCCGTCGCTGCCAGCTGAAGTTGACGCTTGCATTCGCGATGGGCACCTGGGCGATGTATGCTCACAGGCGCGTCGTGACGGTGGAGAATCCGTCCATCCCCGTTCGCGCCCTTGTATGACACCAGCCACGTAGGGGAGCCGTGGACAAGTCGAAGAGCTTGGAAGGATTGTGCTGTATTCGGCGTATCACCTCTCTCTTGGATGTCGTCGGGCATGCACAAGTAGACGGAAAGAGCGAATGTCTCGGGCACGGGGGACCACCTCTCCGTGTTGTCGTGGAGGAAGTTCACAATGGGCCAACTGATCAATCACCTTGCGTAGAAGAGTGTAGCCTTCATTCCAGGAACCTCTGGCTGTGGGGTTTCTCTGCAAGCCCCTCCCGATTCCTGTTGGTCCTTCTCTTGATCCCATGAGAGAGGCGTTACGGGCAGTCGACCTTTTCGGGTTTCCCCGATTCGCCCGGTTCAAATTCAACCTTACATTGTTTGGAAACGCACTAAATCAATACAGGATGAGCGCGCCGTCAGCCCAGCAGGTCGTGAGTGGATTGCTTACAGGTCCGGTCATGCATAGTACTAGTGTTTGTTTCCGCCGCCAGACCTTCCAGGCCAACTCGCCAGGCTTTTTGAACACATACACCCTTTGGACATTACAAACCGCCTTCTCAGCATCCTTGTGGCTTGGCCACCAGCACTGACATAAATTAGCTTCAGAAAATTTATAGACTCGATCGAAAACAGTGGCTGAATACCGTGCCCTTGAGGTTCTTATTCTTCTTGTCGCGATCTTCCATAGCTTCCTTCTTGGTCAGGAATGCGGTCTGCTCACTGACTGCAATAGATCCTGTGGCGAGTAAGACGGCGTAGAGGATGGCGGTACTCATCCTGGCGATGGGTTTTTAGTTGCAGGATTTCGTATGCATAATGCCGTACTCTGTGGTTGTCATTCGCGCATTTATGATAGCCCCCAGAGATGAGCATACGTAGGCGAGAGACAGAATCCAGTGGCATTGTCATGATTATTAGCAACAGAGTAGTCAGAGATACAGGGCCACCGGAAAGCCTCCATGTCTTGAAACGCAGCACAATCGCGTTTCTTGGGTGCACGTACAGCAGAGCAATCCGCCATGATCGCGGAGACGCCCGTCTATTATGGCTTGATGGGATCGGCCCGGTACCATGGGTTTCATTTCTGCCGGTCTTTCACATCGACAATACGTCTGGATCGGATGCAGCAACTTGCAGTACCTAACACTGACATCCAGCCTCGGCGCTATGATCATTTCGCCAGGCTACTCGACGTTGGGCGTTCGTGCTCAAGTTGTTTGTCAGTTGTCACTCTAGGGACATCTTCTGTCACATGTATAGATCATGATAAGAGAAATTGATGTCATTGGTCTGCATGGTGTAGTGGTAGCACACTTCGTTTACAAGAGCGCGTCTTTTAACCCGAATAGGTCCCAGGTTCGAACCCTGGTGCAGACAAAAATTTTTTGGCCTCCATGCCTTTCAGAAAGGAGACATTTCGTTTTGCTGGCTCTGTTGTGCAAATTCATCCAAGGACTCGATTGCTTCCATGCCCAAGAATATCTGCAAAGCAGGGTCGAACCCTACCGCTGCAGCTTACTCGAGGCACGTGTGGGAGAGTGCATGGGAACCGATCTGCGCATGGGCCAACGCTTCGGGGAAAGATAAAAAGGTTTACCAAGAGTCCAAGACATCTCTGCTGGATGGGAATCGGCCAGTTTCTTGATCTACAATTCAGGGACATCGTTGTGGTTGCATCCGGGGGGCCAATGACGTCTCAGTACTTGGAGAGCAGTTCACCAACTCGACGGTCTGACGGCGCCACTCAGCACCAGTACACAGGGCCAATTTTTGCGCATTGCAGTCGCCGTCGGTGAGATCAGCAACGTCGGCCTCGCAGGCTTCTTCCCAGCCAGTGCCGCACCCAAGCAGCACCGCTCACGGTGTGCCGTTGCGCAGAGCGTCGTCGGAGCATGCATGCCCGGTGACGAGATGGGACGTGTCGCGCGATCCAATGCGATGGCGCTCCTGGCGTCGTGGTGGACACGACGAGCTCCGATGGTGCCCGGCCAGCAGCCGGGGCGGTACGTAAGAGCATCGTCCAGCGCTGCCACCGCCGGCGTCCGTGGACCGCGAGACGGGCGCCGACCTCGGGTGGCCGGCGGCGTTGGCGGCTCCGATTCGCTGGACTGCGACGCCGTCGAGGGGCCTGGGGCCCTGGGGTGGCGCCCTCTGGCCCCTCCTCCCCCGCAAACAGGGGGGCCTTCGGGGGGCAAGGGGGGGTGCTTTGGGGGACTGGAGCTTGGGAACCTAACATGGCGAGCGCATCGGTAGCTGCGGGAGCGGGCTGCGCAGGCGCGACCCCGACGGCCGATTGGGGTAACAAACAGGGAAGACGAGAAATTGTTGGAGCTCCCTCGCTTTAGCTGCTAAATGGAGAACGTCACCACCACCACCGCTCACCATCCCTGTGCCGTTACATTTACCTGCCAATCGCTCTCCTCGCCAACACATTGCTGCATGCTGCATACTTGACGTCGTGTGCTCCCGTCGACCCCGCGAACCCCCTCCCCGTTGGCAGTTGAACCTCGGAACACCACGCCCCGAACCGAACCGAACCGAGTCAACTGCTCGCGTCTTCTTACATGGCTCTCCTGCAGCGCCTGGGAGCCTCGTCACTGCGCTTCGCTCCCAGCGTCTCGTTGATGGTTGCGAGGAGCGCGTCGACCATGGCACCCAAGGTAACGAACGAGCGACCGACCTTGCGCCCGAGGCCGCTGAGCCGCCGCTGACATTCGAGTCCGTGCAGCTCAAGGACCCGTCGCTGCTCAAGCACGACGTCTGCTACATCAACGGCGAATGGAAGGCCGCCCGGTCCGGCAAGACCTTTGAGGTCAAGGGTCAGTTTCCCCTCGGGCTTCCCCCATTGGCGAACCGCCTCTTGGCTCACGCGACGCGCTCTCTGCAGACCCGTCTTCTGGCGAGCTCGTCGGCACCTGCGCCGAGTGCGATGTCGACGACACCAAGTCGGCCATCCGCGCCGCCGCCGATGCCTTCACCACCTTCCGCACCACCACCGGCCGCGAGCGCGCCAAGATGCTGCGCAAGTGGTACGACCTCATGGTCGAGAACTCGGAGGACATCGCCAAGCTCATCACCTGGGAGAACGGCAAGCCCTTTGCCGACGCCAAGGGCGAGTCCGCCTACGCCGCCAACTTCTTCGAGTGGTTCAGCGAGGAGGCGCCCCGGAGCTACGGCGACACCATTCCCGCCACCGTCCCTGGCAACAGGGTATGGACCCTCAAGGAGCCTGTTGGTGTCTGCGGCCTTATCACCCCGTACGTGCCCCCATCCTTGTGTCGAGAAGCCCATATTGACACGCTCAGATGGAACTTCCCCGCTGCCATGATCACGAGAAAGGTCGGCCCCGCCCTGGCTGCCGGCTGCACTGTCGTCTGCAAGGCTCCGGGTGAAACGCCCTTCACGGCCCTAGCTCTCGCCGAGCTCGCCCACCGCGCCGGCATTCCCAAAGGCGTCGTCAACGTCATCACAACTCTGTCCAACACCCCCGCAATCGGCGAGGCGCTCACCACCGATCCCATTGTCAAGAAGGTTTCCTTCACCGGCTCGACCGGTGTTGGCAAGCTTCTCATGAAGCAGTCCTCGAGCACCCTCAAGAAGCTGTCTATGGAGCTCGGCGGCAACGCGCCCTTTATCGTGTTCGACGACGCCGACATTGATCTCGCCGTTGCCGGCGCCATCGCTTCCAAGTTCCGCTCCTCGGGCCAGACATGTGTCTGCGCCAACCGTATCTACGTCCAGGCTGGTGTCTACGACGAGTTTGTGCGCAGGTTCACAGAGAAGGTCAAGGGCTTCAAGGTCGGTCACGGCTTCGCCGACGGCGTCACCCACGGCCCTCTCATCCACGACCGCGCCGTGTCCAAGGTGGAGGCCCACGTCAAGGACGCCGAGAGCAAGGGCGGCAAGCTCGTAATTGGTGGCCAGCGGATGCCCGACCTGGGCTCCAACTTCTACCAGCCTACCGTCATTCGCGACGCTACCCCCGAGATGGCCATTGCCACCGAGGAGACGTTCGGCCCCGTTGCGGCGCTCTTCCCCTTCAAGACCGAGAAGGAGGTCGTCGATATGGCTAACGCCGCCGAGGTCGGCCTGGCGGGCTACTTCTTCTCCCGCGACCTGCAGCGGGTGCACCGTGTCGCCGAAGCTCTCGAGGTCGGCATGGTCGGCGTCAACACGGGCATCATCTCCGACCCCGCAGCGCCATTCGGAGGTGTCAAGGAGAGTGGCTTCGGACGCGAGGGATCCAAGTACGGCATCGGCGAATACCAGATTACGAAGATGATTACCTACGGAGGCATGGGCCAGCCGCTTCAGAGCTGAGGACTTTTCCGTATGAGGGCGGTGTGTTAACTGCAGAGGATGAAAATGATGAGACTGATTTGTGGCCAAATTGAGTGCGACCTTTTGCGCACAGGGCACACCACCCGACACGAAGCATTCACAAAGTACTAGTGACCGAAACGCAGTGACTGATCCACTTGCAACTGACTATACCATGTGGCAGAGAGCCACGTTTTACCATTGCAGAAGGAAATCGGTACGAGGTCACCCCGTCCGTATTACATAGGACTGCCAGAGGCGGTATCAGCCTCAACGCCGGCAACTCTCTCAAACGACTGGACTTGAAATGCCTTCCCGTCCACGGGGACCTACATCATGTCTTCATGCTGTTTCCAAGCCGCCGTTTTGCCCCGGCGTTTTCACCGAACCTGTGCCGCGCATCATCACATCATTGTATATCAGATCCCCCGAGCAGCCCTACGCGTACCTGCGCGCATCTTGGTGCTGACGCAGCGGCAGCTGTCGGTCCAGCGTGTGGAACGCCTGCGTCCTCGGCGTGAAAGGCGACGCGTAGGTGCTCGCGGGGGACTTCATGCCGTACATTTCCCAGTTACCCCGCTCCTTGTAGTCCGACGTGGCGGAGGCCTGGTCCTCGTCGTCCTCGACAATGTCGTTGTCCTTGTTGGGCCACGAGGCGTGCAGGGCGAAGCCCAAGTTGAGCAAGTAGATGACGCTTGAGTCACGCAAGAACTGTCAGCCGACGAGTAGAGGAACGAGAGAGAGAGAGACGCCGGGCGGGCGGGGTTTCAACTCACAGCATGACGACCGTGACGCCGAGCGACGACTGCGCAATCTGGCACGACCGGTACTTGCCGTACGGCTTGGCGAGGCCGCAGCCCTTGCGGAAGTACCACGCCGCCGGGGCCGGGTACCGAGAGTCGGCGTAGTCCGGGCCGACCTGGCCGTAGACGCTGACGCTGTAGAGGGCGATGAGGGCGACGTTGACGAAGACGGCGATGACGGGGTAGTAGAGCTTCATGATGTTGGCGATGAGCTTGGCGAGGAGGAAGAAGAGCGAGACGACGGATATGGCGACATTGAAATTGGTCAGTCTACGCGGGCATCGCATTGAGCATGCACATGTCAGCCCACGATCTCTCTCACTATCACTCAAGTGCCGCTTTGGTTGCGAGGACAGGGACGAGGACGGGCACGGGGGAACGATACGTACGTGAGCGACCATATAAGCGGCACCTTGGGCAGGGGCCGGTGGTTGGCGTAGGCGTAGAGGATCATGTTGGGGTTGGAGTTGAGCTTGTTGTCGAAGCCAATCTGCCACATGTCGGTGCGGTACAGGTTGGGCTGGGAGATGCCGAAGATGACGAGCAGGACGATGAGGACGGCCAGCTCGGGCACCATGATCCAGGAGTTGAAGCGCCTGTGCCGGTGCGGCCAGTCCCGCGGCATCAGCCGATAGGTCTTGTTCTTGCCGAGGAGGACCTTCATCGCGATTCGCTTCGAGGAAGAACTGGGGACGAATGATGTGCGTATGCGTGTACGTGTGTGGCCGTGGGTTCCGGGTTCCTCACACAGATGGTGGTTTTTCTGCGACACACCCGCTGAAGGCGGATTCTTCAAGCCCAGACAAGGCTTGTCGCTTTCGTCGCCGTGATGACCTGCTGCCGCGACGATGCCGCCGGGCGGAGGAGAGGAGGCACAGCTACCGCAGCACCGATGCGGGGGAAGACCACATCTGCAGCAACGGCGACGGATCACTGTCTCGCTCGCTCTGCGAGTTTTTGAAGGCAGTCGTCGTCTTGGTTTAGTCGCAGCCCCGTAGTCGTTCACTTCACGGGTCCGTCAGGAGCTTCGAGAGTTGTCGTCGCTGGCCGTCTTTGGTGGCCCGAGCTCGAGGGGTCGGGGTCGACCTCGGGGGCCGGCTGGCGTTTAAAGAGGCCCGTCGTCCCATCCTCCTCCATGGGAGCGAACCGCTTGCCGATACCGTGCGTGCGTGCATGCGTGCGTGCTCGCTCGAGGAGGGGGGACCGACGCAGTTGGGGGCAGGGGACTGATTGCGCTGCCCGCACCTGCTGCAG